ATCTAATATGGTCACATAATACTTACGTGACCCCTTAATATCCAAAATACCCTCTAGAGTTTGTTAGCCTTTAATTTAACTCTCTTCAACTTTAGAGTGTCTCACAAAACTCCCCAAGTGTATCGCGTTTCTCCCAATAAGCAACCCCCATAATGTCGTCACTTCACACCTTTAGAGCGTCTCACAAAAATATCTCACAAATCTCCCCAAGTGTTCCCATTTCTCCCAATAAGCCACCCTCATTATGTCGTCACTTCAAAATGTGAAACAACTTAAAGGGCAAATAACACTAAATCCCATTGAGGTTTGCAACTTTCACAATAAATCCCTCTGAGGTTTAGAAAGTGACAATTTCTCCCCCTTTCTATTTATTCTTAATGTAATAGAGCCACATGATACTCATGTGACTACTTAAGGATCAAAATACCCTTTACCATGATTTTCCTTCTCCATTTTTGTTTTTTACTGCAGAGTTAGTTTTTTTTTTAATTTTAGGGAATTCGGACCCTATAACTTCTAAAAAAATTTAGGGGAGAATCAGTGAAAGGTAAAAAAAAATCTTAGCTCTATAGTTTTTTTATGACAACTACAAAATAGATTTAAAAAAATATATGATGAAATATGTTGGAGATAAAATTTTTTTAAAACTCTAAAGGGTATTCTGGATATTAAGGGGTCACATAAGTATCATGTGACCCTATTAGATTGAGAATTAATAAGAAGGGGGAAAAAGTGTTACTTTCTAAACCTCAGGACGAGACTTTATCAAAGTTGCAAACCTCAGGGGGATTTAGTGTTCTTTACCCTAAATAAAATAATCTTTTGGGGAAAAAAACTCATTTTAGTTTAATAGAAGCTCGTAAATGGTAAAAAAAAAATCAAGACCATTTTATAGTGCATTTTCCTCTGTTTTCTCATTTTGTGGAAATTCAGATTAATTTTTTTGATAATAGAGGGGTATTTTGGCATTTCTTAGCCATGCTCTTGTCACATAACATGTTTGACTTAATAGTGTAAGTCTTCCTGGGGAAAATGAGTAAAGTTCAAAAGAGTTGAGCAAATTTTTAAGGTTGAGGGAGGCTATCTACAAACACCCCCAAAGTTGGGGAGCTTACTAGAATTAAAATAGTTGAGAGAGGTTTTTGAGATACCCTCCATAATCGGTGGGGTTTTTCTGAAACTAGTTCTTTCTTTTAAAAATGAGATTTTTACATATATACCCCTCACATCTTCCATTTTTGCAATTTTTACCTCTAAATCTTGGTATTTGCAAAATTACTCTCCAATTCTCTAGCATTAAACTTTACTATCCCTCCTACTTTAACAATTATAGTCTTTAAACAGAAATCAGTTGCAACCTTATTGAATTTTTTCAAAATTTTAATATTATACCGGTTGGAAACCAACATTGTAAAGTTGGAAGGGAAAATATCCAATGTGAGAGAATTGGTGTAGTTTCATAAATATAAAGATTTAGAGAATAAATTTATAATTATCAAATATTTGAGGGTATATATGCAATAACTTTTTAAGTTTTATGATATTTTTGTCCAAATCAACCCAAGCTTCGAGTTAGTTTTGGATTCTCCATTTCTCCTTGCGAACTGTTGACTTTGCTTTGCGCGTTGAAACTAAGCTTCAGCGAGGGTATCTTATTCCGAAGAAATCAATTAATTAACATGTTTTCTAAATATGGCAGCTTAATATTCTCCGACATTACAAATTTATACTTACAAAGTATGCTATTCTTGTGCATAAATTGTTGGTCATGAGTGCTATAAAATAGTATTTTTTGTCGTTTATCGTGCTAAATAAAGGTAGTTGTTACCCACGGTTTTGGACTAAGTTGAGAGTAACTTATGAACATCTTACTACATTTATAGTATAGTGCATGTGATTTGCACTCGAAAGTATATCTATTTTGTTTTATGTTTTTAAAATTTTTTTGTTGCTTGCAAAATATTGAAATGATTTGAATAACAATATAAATTCTGAATAATTACAATTTTTTTAAATAAATAAATTGTACGATAAAATTATGTATAAAGTACTATATCATTAGTTATTATAATTTGGATAATTATTATAATTTATTCATAATTTATTAAAATAATTGTAATATATTAAATAATTTATTCTCTTTTAAATATAACAATACTATACATAGCATAATTATAATACTATTAGTAACTACATTTTAATTTCATAATTAGTTTATTACACTATTAGTAAACAATTTACTAAATTGTATAATTATTAAACAACAATGTAATTTCTTAATTTAAAAAATATTATTAAAATCATTATACTATTCATAGTATTACAATTATAATAAGTACAAATTGTTTTTCATACTATTATCATACTTTTAACATGCTAATAACATAAGAGGTAATAGGTAGTCCTCCATAAGACGTGAAACTCAAAGGCATAAGGCATAAGCCTAATGAAATTTTATTATTTTTAATTTTTATAGAATTTTAAATATTATGTGAAGATAAATTAGGGATAAATTTCAAATATTCTATTAAATAGCATAATTAGATAATAAATAATAGTGTGACCAAAGGCTTTGAAAAAGTGAGGAAATACATAATTAATAAGACGTTATATATAATTAGTGAATGATTAATTACAACTAATGACATATTTTAGAGTTATCAAATTTAAAAGGGCAAAAATAAAAATCAAAAGTTTTGACCAAGCAATCCTCTTTTATATGTAGTATAGATATAGATTGTTGTTGTGATGATTACATTTATATTTAAATTTCTCATTCTTAGTCATACAATTTTTTTCATATACTCAATTCATATCAACTAAATAAAATATTAGATGGTATATATAAGTACATATTTTTGTTATACTAATGCATTTGATAGCTTGAAGAAAGATTTAGAATTAAATACAATATTTTGTTCGTAATGTGGTTGCAAATTAGTTCTAATTAACTATCTGGACTGGAAGTAGTATTCCAAGCTATGTGCGGGCACAGTACATATTTGTGTAAAATATTAATGACTTATACCGAATTTATTCATCCACAGTCAATCAAATTTGATATTTAATTTTCTAAATCATGCGTCATTGAATGGATAGAGAAAGAATTATAAAGTAAGCTATCTTAAAAAGATGGGGAAGTTGTGTCAATACCTCAATAATAATAACCTGATGTGACCTAACCCTTTCATCTTTTCCCTATGTGGACGAGCTCCAAACAATATCACTTCATGTGATTCAACCTTTTATTCCATGCCAACTAAACATAAAGAGAGATAAACAAATAGAAAAATCAAAAATACCCTCATTTCTTCCTCTCTTTTCTTTCCAGATCTAAATATGCTCATCCTTCCTCCTTTCTTCTCCTCCTCTCTCCTAACACATTTCCTTCATCCTCCCTTTTTTCCTCCTTTTTTTCTCAGACATCGACATCCCCCTCCGCCACCGCCAACCATTCCGGCTATGTTGTTTGCTCCTTTTCTCCCACTAAATTTTCCTGCTTTCTCTTTCTTTTCACCCCAAAACTAAAAAAAGCCCTCAATTCATCGGAGATCTAGTTAGAGGATCCATCAAAGAACAGATCGGTCTCCGACACTAAAGGCGAAGAGGTGACGAAGAATGACGGAGGAGGACGAGGAGGAGCTCG